CGACGTGCAGATCCTAGTGCTGAAGGACATGCAGGAGGTTTCGGAGAAGGCCGCCTGGCGAACCTGAGGGAAGGCGCTTCGGGCTTCCCTTCAACATTTTCGTGACGGGGTGGCTACCCCAGAGGCTTGCCCACAGATGAGCTTGTTCTAGCTGGTCAACTGTTGCACCACCATCCTAAAGGATATCATAGACCACAAAGTGCAGCACTGGCACAAGCTGTGGTGAGATAGCCCGGGTTTCGACGCATTTCGTTTGTTTCATGCACTCGATCGGGTTAGAGAGGAAGCTACCGCAGCCAGCCTTCCCTCTCTCACCCCAGACATGGTCAGACACGCGGTCCACTAGATGAAGCCTCGCACTGGCATGGGAGTCGATCGGTTCACGCCGCTGGACATCGAGCGGCTGCCGCCAGAGGGCATTGCCGAGCTCACTACCTTGCTCTGTGCCATCGAGAGCTGCCTCACCTGGCCCTGGCAACTGCCCCGTACCATAAGCAGGTTGCTGGGGGAGAAATCGGGTGGTGACCGCGTCATAGGTTTGGTCGGAACGATTCCTAGGATATGGCCGAAAACCCAAGAGTGGTCGGATGCATCCAAGCCTTTTTGGGATGCGGCGGCGTCTGGCAATGCTGCGTTGCGTGAGCCTTTTGCACGTTCAGTCAGCGACGAGGTGCGCGGGCTCCTCGGCGCTGATTTCGGGAACGGCCTCCTCGATATTGAGAGTTTCTACGACAGCATATGTTGGATAAGGCTTTCTGTCAAAGTTTTGGGCTTAGGTTTTCCTCCCGAGGTCCTTCTCTTGGAATTGCAGTTGTGTCTAGCCGCTCGCACTCTTGCTACCCAGAACAGTTTGCCCAGCTGCGTTCCAACCCACTCGTTCAGTCATCCAAGGCCTTAGAATTTGTGCGCGTTTTGCGAGGTGCATGACATATTTTGTATTGTCGCGCTTGTCCCAGAGTCACCCCATCGGTTAGTGGGCGGGCATGGATCGATGACTTGTCTCAGTCCATAGGAGATTCTTGGTTCACTAGCAGGAAAATTTTGTGCCGAGTCTCGTGGCAGGCGGGTCAACTGTTGGCGGGGGGTGGACTGGGAGTTGCAGCCAAGTCAGTCATTGTGTGCTCCAAGCGGCAGGGGGCCACGTTCATACCTCGCCGCCTCGAGCGCGAGGGCGTGACCATCCTATCCTTTGCCCGGGCTCCGCACCTGGGCGTGGGCCTGGGAGCTGGCCGCCAAGCCCTCGCCACTGCGCGCGAGAGTGAGGCCGAGTTCAGGATGATGACTACGCGCGTTGCGCGTGAGTTTCGCGAGGGCTTCGCGGATGCACTCCTTGGCGCTGCGTTTAGAACAGGCAGGGGCGCAACCGGCAGCCCGTCACGGACGTCGGGTTCACGGATTTTCGGGGGCGCGAGGCAGACCGTGAGGCGCGAGCTAGGTCAGGTGACTTGCGGTGCCTCACCGCAGCCCTGGACGCGCGCTGCCCGAACGTGGATCCTGCGTGCCGTCTCCTATTCAATTCAGTGCGATTGTGGCTTTGCACGTGGCAGACGGAGCCGAAGTTGCGCCCAGGTATTTCCCGGGCTTGGTCCTCAGTCGTTGCTGAGCTCACGTCTGTTCCTCTCGCTCTTCGTCCTCGGCGCGTTCGCGGCCCTCTCTCCGCCCATCGTGCGCCGCCTCCCCCGGTGCGGGCGGGGCCTTGTCGGCCCGGCGGAGTTGGGCATTCGGCTTGCAGGTTCAGGCGGCCGAGAAGCATTCATCTTCGACCAGCTCGGCCCCGCCGGTGATGCGTCTAGTTTGGTGAATGAGTTCGAGCATGCCGTCGGGCTTGCCCAGTGGAGGACCGCTGCCAACCGCCGCTTCGGCGAGGGCCCGCAAGATGGGGCGCGCAATTTCTCGCGCGGGCATTTGGAGACTGCTCGGCATGGTCACTTGCTTTCTGAACTCATGATTTGTATTGCCGCAGGAGGTGACTGGGCCAGGAAGCGGATCCAGGATGGCATCGATGGTCAGTCGAGCGCCCGCGTTGCCACGAGGCACCAGAGACCGCCTGCGCCCAGGCCGATTTTTTTTTTTTTTTTGAGACCATGGCACAGTCCGAGGCCTTCCCTTGCTTCTGGCTCCGTGGGAGCACCCCCGCCAGCTGGGCCAGGGCCCCCCCCCTCCCTCCGCTCGAGCCCTCCTGGGCCCTATCTGGAGCCTCAGAGTTGGGCCCCTCCGTTCTCGGTCGAGGCTCCCACGAGGCTTCCGTTTGCCTGTTTGGGGGTGCCAGCGGTGGTGGGGGGTCTCGGGGTGCTAGGCCTAGGCGTGTAGGGCTGGGCGTCCTATCTGTCCCTAGCCCCCCCCCTTCCAGATGGGGGGGGGCCCGGCAGTCGGTCCCCGGGGGAGAGCTCAAACCATGTATTTTACGAGTCGCTCTCTCTAGAGGTTTCGCGACTTGTGCGACCGACGGCGAGTCGGTCAGTGAAGGGCGTTGCGGCAAACGGATGCCTCGCCGCGAGCGGCGAGCATCACGACCTGTGGACGGAGCTGGGGTCGCTCCGTTCATCCCGGGGTTTCGATGAGGTGCTCCAGATTTCGTAATAAAAGGGAGGGGGTCTGGACCCTCCAAGATAAGCCATTTCAGACCCCCCCTCGTGGGAGAACCCTCCAAAACATCGTCCCCAGACCACCCCAGGCCCTCCAAGATAGCCTGGAAGAGACCCCCCCCGAAATGAGACCCCCCTCCCTTTATTACGAAGTCTGGAGTAGTCGTGCTGCTTGTGCCGTCCCACCTTCTCTCCTGCTCGGGCCGTGTCGGGCCCTCGCCCTCTCTGGCTGATTCAGGGGGGCGCGGCCGCTGACGAGCTGGCTGGCACCGCGGCTGGCGAGAACACATTGCCCGAACGTGCTCTCCCAGCTCGAGCATGAAGCCTGTCTTGTTCGAGAGAGACTTCTCCGTGCTCAGCTCGATGCGATGGTCGCCGATCGCAGGCCCCCAGCCGAAAAGGTCCGCCTGCCCCCCCTCCTTACCCAGCAGCTCTGTCCGTTTTTGCGTCAAGGGATGAGTTGTGGGGCGCCTCAATGCGTCGCCGACGCTATCCTGAGAGTAGGGTTCTCAGCTTATTACTTCGTGGTCAAGCCCCCAGCCCTTACTTTTCACTTGATGTTTGGCGTTTGGTGTTTGGTGTTTGGCATTTGGGGTTCGTTGTGTGGTGTTTTGGGTTGCATGTTGTTTTTGGGGGGCTTGGGTGTTTGGTGGTGTTGGGTGTTTTTAGTGCGTGCGCCGTATTTTGGGAGGCTTTGACGGCTCCAGCCAGGGCGTGGCCCAACTGTGCTGGGGTGTAGCCCGACAGACCGGGGTATGACCCATCCAATTGGGGTATAGAATTCGGCCCCTTTGCCTGCCTCCCCTTGCCTGGGGCGGCGCGTCCTCTTCGGGCCTTTCCCTCGCTGGGTCCGCCTGCGCCCCGCCGCGGCCCCTGTGCCGTCGCCGCGGTCCTGTGCCGCTTCGCCGCTGTCCGCCTTCCGCCCGTCTTCGCTTTCCCTTCCCCGCTCCCTTTCGGGCCCGTTCCTTTTGGGGGTGCCGGCCGCCCCCCCAGGGGCCGCCCTTTAGGCCGGCGCCGTTTCTGGCGCACGGCCTGGCTCCGCCGGCTTTTGCGGCGCTTTGTGCCTGCGATTTTGTGCGGCTCCGCCGCCTTCCGCTTGCTCCCCCCGTCGCTCCTTGACGCGCTCCCTCGCCGGTCCACTCTTGCTTACTTGGCCTTCCCGCCGTCCAGTTCCGGTTGGCTTATGTCACCTTCCACCCTCGCCGTAGTTTCGTCTACCCGTCGCCCCTCCCCGCCATGAATGCCCAGATGGTCATTGTTGCCGCCGGCTGTGACACCTAAGGGGTCTCTTGTGTTCGGCCAGTTGCAGACACGCGGGCCACTGCCTGTGCACGATTTTCTACGCCCCGTCACCGCGCGCGGGGCCGCGACCAAATGTATGTGTGTGTGTGTGTGCGTTTGTGTATGTATCTGTGTGTGTGTGTGTGTGTTTGTGTCTGACCGTTCTCTCCCTCCTCTCCCCCCCTGCAGCAGTCGCGCCTGACTGCCGAGCCTCTGTGGGTGGGTCTAGTATCGCCGCGCCGCGTGATCTGGGTCGCCACGCGCGCGTCTCGCGGTCGCTCAACCTGCACTACGCCGCGCCGCTGCGCGCGCGGCCCGGCTCCTTCCTGTCCGCGCCTCATGCCTCGGGCCATGTCGCGGTTGCCTCAGTCTTCCCAGTCCCCGTTCTTCGGGGATGAGCGGAAGCCGAGGGTTTTGAAACAGACAGGTGACCACGCCGCCGGGCTATCCCTTCTCCCCCCCGTGGTCGTCGTCGTCGTCGTCGTCGTCGTCGTCGATGTTTTCGTCGCCGCTGTCGCCGTCGCCGTCGCCGTCGCCGTTGTCGTCGTCGCCTTGGCCGTCGCCGTCGCTGTCGTCGTCGACGTCGCAGTCTGGAGATCCAGCGCATTGAGGTTCCAACGATTTGGGCCCCCCAGGTTATTGCGCCCGTCCACAGGGTGGCCCAAGATAAGTTTGAATGACGTTGGGCTTTGGAACTATCCACCTTTTCTGTCGCGTGTCGTTTCTCCCGGGGCCCCTGGGGATCCCGAGGCAGGGTTCCTACGAGGCCCTTCGTAAACATTAGGACAACCCGCCATGGTTCTTTCCAGAACGCCTAGCGTCGAGGTGAGCGGGTCGGCGCCGCCGCTGCGGCCGTCGCCGTTGTCGCCGTCGCCGTTGCCGCCGCCGCCTCCGTCGTCGTCGTCGTCGTCGTCGTCGTCGTCGTCGTCGTCGTCGTCGTCGTCGTCCTCGTCGTCGTCGTCGTCGTCGTCGTCGTCGTCGTCGTCGTCGTCCTCGTCGTCGTCGTCGTCGTCGTCGTCGTCGTCCTCGTCGTCGTCGGCGTCGGCGTCGTCGTCGTCGTCTTCGTCGTCGTTGATTTGAGGTCAGGACGTCATCGTCGGTCGGCGTGGCACATAGCGCGCGTGGCGGGGACAGGCGAGCACGCCGCATTTGCAGGACCTCGCCACGAAGGACCTTTCGCGGGCACAAGTCGTCGTTGCTTTCGTCGTCGTCGTCACCATTTTTTTTTTTTTTTTTGTTTTTTTTGTTTATTTTAAAACATCATTTTTTTGTGTTTTTTATTGTTCGTATTTTTCATCGTTGTCCTTGTTCTTTTCCCTCTTGTTTTTTATTGTTGTTCTTCCTTCTTCGTGTTCTTTTCTTTTTTTCCTTTATCTACATGTTTCTGCTGCTTATTCTTCGTCAGCGTCGGCTTCAGCGTGTGCGCTGGTGTCGGCGTCGTCGTCGTCGGCATCGTCCACAATGTCGTCGTCAATGTCGTCGTCGTCGTCGCTGCCGCCGCCGCCGCCGCCGCCGGCGTCGTCGTCGTCGTCGTCGTCTGTGTCGTCGTCGTCGTCGGCGTCGGTCGTCGTCGTCTTCGTCGTCCACGTCGCAATCGTGCAAGTGTTCTCCGTCGGCGTCGTCGTCGTCTTCGCCTTCATCGTCGTCGTTGCTGTCGTCGTCCTTTTTCTTCATATTTTTCGTCGTCGTCGTCGCCGTCGCCGTCGCCGTCGCCGCCGCCGCCGCCGCCGTCGTCGTCGTCGTCGTCGTCGTCGTCGTCGTCGTCGTCGTCGTCGTCGTCGTCCTCGTCGTCGTCGTCGTCGTCGTCGTCGTCGTCGTCGTCGCTGTCGTCGTCGTCGTCTCAGCCGCCTCAGTCTCAGCTTCGCCGTGGCAACTATCGTCGTCACACGTGTAGTCGTCAGCGACGCCACCATGAATTTGCTGGCTTCATGAATTCGGAAAGGACTTCAACGCCAGCCTGCCGTTCTTCATCCCGAAAGGTGCCTCGGATCGCGCGACCGAAGACTAGCTCTACCACGCGGTCGACAAAAGGTCCGATCGTTGAACGTTACCAATGCCTACAACCGCCTACCTGTTGGCCAACCCGGTGTGGTTTGTGACTGATGCCGCGGTCGCGCACCAGATCTCCATGACGCAGAGGGGTTTCTTGCTTGGGCGATCGATGCTTGCTAACCTGGTCGACTTAGACGAGGGGCTCGCGGAACACTATGTCGCCGGCTTAGAGTTCGCGGTTTTCTTTCAGGGGGCCAGAGACGGGGTAACAGCAGACGGGGTACCAGGAAACGGCCGGTTCGAGGCATCAAATGGCCCTGTTGTTGCAGTGCAGTTCTCTCTGGCTTTCGCGTTCGATGCAGCACCTTCCACATGCTGGCTGCGTTGCACATTGTCGGCTGCTGCCTTGCATCTTTCTGTTTTGTGCCCTCTGTTGTCCGGTTTGTGGGGCTTGTTTGCAGTTTTTCCGCAACTAGTTGCCAACAAATTGCAGTGCATTTTTTTGGCGTTGGAGACAAATGCAGTGTATTTTTTTTCGGGTCGTTGCATTCTTTTCCACCTGGATCCCATGGTGGGTCTGTTGCCCCGTTTGGGCGTTAGCCGGCTATTGTGCTCCCTGATTCTTCTTCGATTTTGAGGCCGCGTTCCCGTCCATCGAGCACGGCTGCATGATGCGTTTGCTCTTCGGCCTGTTTGGTAGCTGCACTTTGTGGAGGCTTTCTACCAAGACCAAGTTCGAGGTGGTCATCACATGCACGCGCTTTGTGGGCTTTGGCCTCACGTTGGGGGTGCGCCAAGGGTGCCCTCTGTCGCCGCTGCTTTCCGCGGTCGCCTCTGATCTGTTACCCTGTCGCCTTCAGCGCCTCCTGCCGGCCGCGCTCGTCCGGGCTAGCGCCGACGAGTCGGTCATCCTCGTCGCGCACGTTCTCGCCCAGCTGCCGATGCTCGACGACGACGACGACTACGCGCGAATGTCTGACCAGCGCTTGAATGTTTGGAAGACGTTCTTCGTCCCCGTGTTCGCCTACGACGAGCTGGCGCTGCGGGCTGACATTGCCCGAGAAGCCATGGAGAGGGGGGCCATGTCCGTGAAGGACCACCTTAACTACCTGGAAGTGACCGCGGGGCCAGGCTCAGAGGGGGCGCTTCGTGGGCGGCGCCGCTCGCCAAGATGCTTGGCCGGCCCCAGCTCAGGGGGGCCGTCGGCCGGGGGTTCCGCGCGTGCGAGGCCATCGGGTATCCGTGGCGTCTGTCGTCATGTTTGGCGCAGTTCCGCCCCCTGCCTGCTGCCTTCGCTGCAACAGAGGCCATGGCGTGCACCGAGCTGTTTCCTGGCCCCAACGCTTGGGCGAACGCAGAAAATCGGACTCAGCTAAGGGACCTCGGCCTCCGTTCGAGCTGAAAACATCCGGTGTGATTCGATCGCCGCGAAGGTTCGGGTCTGCCAGTGCGAGGACGCCCCGACGGGCGGCTTGCGAACGCGGAGACGGGCGAGACAACTTCGGCGTCGCAGGCAATGTAGTCTTCGTGAACTCGTGCCGGCTCCCATCGAGCGGTGGTTGGAATCGGACGCGCTCTTCGTGTTTGGGGCCGCAGAGGAGCAAGTGCACGAGCTCGAGCTGGCGCAGGGGCCCCCATGCATGCGGACAGCGACGCAGGAGACCCCGGCGACGTATGAAGGCCACGTGGCAGGCCGAGCGCCACAAGGCCGTCTTGGCGGGCCGCCCACGGGCCCCAGCTGCTTTTGTCATGCGCCGCCGCCTGGACCATTGGGACACTGATGTGGTTCCAGGAGCGCGGTTTCAGCGATTTCGGTTTCACATGGAGGCGCCGATTGCGTTTGTGCTGCCCTGTGTCATGGCCGCGGGCTTGCGCGCAGCCCTCAACGGTTGGGTCACCACGCGGCGCTTCCAGCAGGTCGGACGCTGCGCCTTCGGTTTTGCCCGGGGCATGGACAGCATCAATCACTGCCCATTGGGAGCAGTGTAGTCTTTCGCGGCCAACGGCCTCCCAGTGTCTGTTCCATTTTTTGGGCCTTTGTGCTGCCGCGAGCTTTGCGCAAGCCTGGGCGGCCATGCGCGCGCCAGGAGCTCGACGCTCTTCGGGCCGTGTGCCGTTGCGCGCTCAACCGCGCGCGTTTGGCAGTCCGCCACCGCGCTGTCGAAAAAGTGGACGACGGGGCCATTTTCAAAGCGGCGGTCCGCGACGCCTGTTCGGCGGAGGAGCGTCCCTGGCTCCCCCTCCTCGCTCTTCCTTTCCTCCTTTCTCTCCTTCGCCCCTCCTCCGAATCGTGCGTTCCACAAACGAATCGGCGCCCGAGTGTCCGCCCCGAGTTTCGGCCGCGGTCGCAGGACAGAGGTTCAGCCGGCGGCCGTGGTTTTTGTTTCGTGGGAAAGCAGGGCGCGGGCTCACGAGCAGAACTTGGCGAAAACATTATTTGTCCCCCACCCTCCCTCTTCCATTCCTCCCTTTTCCCTCCCCCGCCCCTCCTCCTCCGAATCGTGTGCCCCGCAGGCGGATGACCGTCCGAATTCCCGCCCCGAGTATCGGTCACGCTCGTAGGGCATTTTTGTTGCTGGCGGCCGCGGTCTCTGTCTCGAACGAATCTTGACAGCCGAGTTACCCGCGGCAGTGGGGTGACGCGCTTCCGGGCCGCTCTCCGCCACCTAGCTGCGGCCAAAGCGCTCCCAGCTGCGGCCAAAGCGCTCCAGGTTCTCGACCTGTCGTTTTCGCGGCGCGGAATGCCGTCTAAATAATGTATCGATCGAAGGTGGCAGCAGCTCCTCCGAGTCCGTCGGATTCGGGTTGCGCTTCTCTCCCTTCTCGTCTTTTTCCCCCTCCCTTTCCTCCTCCTCCTCCTCCTCCTCCTCCTCCTCCTCCTCCTCCTCCTCTCTCTCTCGGGGTCGTTTGCTTCTCGCGGTAGCTTTGCCGATTCTAAATGTCCATCTCGATCGTACCTCGCTGATTTGGCGCTGGCTCGCTGGCGGCCGCCGCCCTGGGAGTCTCACGCGGGATGTGTGAAGATTGATTCGGTTAGTTCATATACTCTTCTCTTCCGCTCGTCCTTTCCTGCTTCTGCTCCGCCTCCTCTTCCCCGCCCGGTTTCACCGATACGATTTTGGGATGAATTCGTATCGTTCCGCGTTCGCACGCAGTACCAGAGGTGTCAACACATCGTCCCCCCCTCCTTCTGCGCCTGCCTCCCCCCCTCTCCGCCAACGCGTGCGACAACTAATCCTGGCCACCACGCTGCCTGCTCTCCCTCCTCCCTCGTGGCTGGTGCTTCGCATGGTGGAGTCCCCTCTTCCCTCAATGGGAAAGCTGGCAATTTTCATCATCTGCGCCTCGGTAGTACGGTGTGAAAAAAGTCGTCGGCGCCGCCACCGCAGTGGTTGCCTTCGCCGTTGTTGTCGTCGCAAACGGATGATGGGGAGGAGCAAGGAGAGAGCGGAACAGGAGGGGCGGAAGAGGGACGAAAGGGGGGGGGGTGGGGTGGAGAAAAGAGAAGAATCAAAAAGAGGGGGAAGGAGGAGGGAGGATGAACAAGGAGGAGGGTGGGGGAGGAATGAGGAATGAGGAATGAGGAATGAGGAATGAGGATGATGATGATGATGCTGATGCTGATGCTGATGCTGATGCTGCTGCTGATGATGATGCGGATGATGCGGATGATGATGCTGCTGATGATGATGATGATGACGATGACGATGACGATGACAATGGTGCTGCTGC